AGCAGTATCCAAGCCCACCTTTCCTTTGTACCCAGCACAGTACTGCTGAATTATTGTTACTGCTTTCCCTCTGCACTGCTTGCCTATGCTCCAGCAAAGTCTTTGCCTACTGCCGCTCCCAGATGCATTTAAGAACCCGCTTGTGGAGCCAGGGCTGGCCAGAGCCACCAGCCTTTTGAGGCCACTAATGCAAAATGAAAACTTTGCTTATTCTTTCATTCAAATGCAGTTGTGACCAGGCAGAAGCAGCCACTGCACAGCCACACAGCACAGAAGAGTGTCATATGGGCTAGCCATGTTGTTGTCTCCTTTCCCATACTACAATCAAGGGACTTGTAAGGGTTTCCTCACGTGTCTCCCTGTGTACAAGGGAGTTGGTGGCTTCAAAACTTCTTAAACAAAGTAGCCCTTTTTCTACAGCAAGTTACAAACAAAGCCAATAAGCTGCATTAGATGAATAGATAGGAAGGGGTTTGGGTGCTACAGGCTCAGAGTGAGAGCCATTGAGGGAGCTGTGGGGAGTGTGGGAGGGGGTTGAGGGGAAAAGCTGAGCTCATTGCATCCCAACCAGACAACATCAGGCAGGAAACAGATGTGGAAGAAACCACAGAGGGGTACAACAACAGAAGAATTTAACTCTCCAGCAAAGAGGGGAATCTCAGACACACAGAGCTGACCTGCACCATAAGAACAAGGGCATCAAGTCTGAGATTTGCCTTTATGCACACCTGGTAGCACCTCCTTAGCCCAACATCTAGACACCAGCATACCAAAAAAAAAAAAAACACAGAAAACATTCCGAACTTTTTCCAAGTTCTACCTGGCTCTAAGCATATGAAGCAAAGGTAGATCTGGATCAGTAGGGGTTCCTATACAAAAGACTGGATTATCTTTTACCATCACACTCCAATTCTTGTAGACGCTATGTGCATTTCCATTTTTAAAGAGTGGAAGTTGCACCTGGCTGTATACCTGAAATTCCAGCTTGAATTTCACACCGTTAGAAGCACTAGGAATATTAAAATTCCTTTTGATCTAATTCCTCTCACTTTAACAGCTTTGACTCTTACAACAGCCTCCTCTTACAATACTTCCGTGATATAACCAGAAGCAAGATTGTTCCTTGTGACTGTTTTCTTAAGCAGTTCAGAGTGTCCTGCCCCAGCCAAAGATGGTGCACAAACTTGTGTCTTGTCTTCTCTGCGGGCCCATTCGTCACCAGAAAACTACACTGTTGTTATTACAGTAACTGAGAGCCTGATGTGCAACTCCTACTGACTTCAGCTGAGGCACAATGCATTTTTCTCCTCTGGAAACCAAGCTGGTTATCAAGAGGCAAAATATGACTAATGTTAATCCTTCAAGACTATTATCTGTTAGCCCCATTACACTGATATATTTCAATAAAGTTTGGCACAGTAAAAAGTTTTAGTAGAGGGCATTAGTACTCACTTCCTTCTGCATGGACGCCTATCCATGTCCAAAGTCTGGGCATGGACACTGCTTTCTAGTGAAGCTTTTATATTCCAAAAGATCTCTTGCCTTCAAGTGTGGATTCAGTGCTGGAAGTGACACAGGAGGGACCACGTAAAATTGGACAACTTTTCCTCATTGGTATTGCCATCATTCCTTTATGTCTGATGTGAGATGTCCTCATACACACTGCTATTTAAGCCATTGTTTGATAATTATGGTGAGAAGGAAGAGAAGTTTATTTTTCCCCAAGTTTCTAGCCCTCTTACCAAAGAAAGACTTGAAAACATAACCCAAATGCACACTGAAGTTTTGGAAAAATGGAGAGCGGACAAAGAACCCAGCAGAGATTTTGTGTTGTGGTTTTTGTGGCCTGAGTCATGATTTAAAATGCTTGTGTGCACTGATAGCAGTCTGCCCCCATAAGAAGTGTGACCAGTGTCTGTGCAGAGACTGCCAGCAGGAAAAGGCCAAGTAGGGTCAAACGTGGTACTGACAGGAACTGACTTGAAACACGGTAAATTCAACACATCTGAGAGTCTAACCAGCCACCAGACATCCATATCTGCCCATCACCACTGATCTATGTCAGATCTGAAAGAATCAGCTTAAGGCTAAAAGCTTTGTATCATGTTTTTGGCTCCTGAGCTGCTTCACTGTACCTGCTAAAGTCTTCCTATTTGATCATTTTAAAATACTTTGTAGTTCTGCTGCAGCTTTTATTGTATTATCATAAAGTTCTTTCTAACAGAGGCTTAGGTACATGGATCTGGTAAGGGAGACAGCAGGATCTTTGGCTGTCTCTGAAAAGAAATATAGCAAGTCATTAAAGAGTTACATGGGAAGAGAGGAAATGCTGATACCTTTAGCAGAATATAATTCTCTCCACTGGAATTTGGCAACAACACAGGGACTAAGGTCCTTACAGAAAGCACAAGCTGCTCGTCAACAACCACAAGCATGTAGGGACTTAGGTTGTGCCTCTCCTCCACAAAGCATCGCACAAGTAGTGCAGCACCCTCTAACTGTAAAGGTCATGTACTAACCCAGAGGGGGAAATTCCAAATTGAATCGTCTTCACTAGCCTTGGCCATCCCTGTGCTCCCTTGGTGAGCACCAGCAAAGCAGGTCTCGGCCTCTCCTTGCCTGTGCAGCTCCAGTTGCACACAGTGGCACTGCAGCATGGCATAAAGCAAACCTGAGCACGGAAAGCACAACCAATATGACTCACGTCCTGCCGGGCCCACAGCATCTTCTTTTCTAGTTAACCCTTCTGGGTGTGTTTTCTGCTTTCAGAAAGGCCCACAATAAAATGTTTGCTGGACAGCAGCCAAAGAGCTCTCCTGCTCCTCACCACTCTCAGATACCAGGAACAGTCTTAGAACTTCATTGCTTCCTAGTAGGGAACAACCTGAGACTGCATCCCACCAGTTAAACACACAGCACTGAGAAGAAAACAAAGCAGAGAGAAAGCTACAGCTTCATGTCCCTATAAAACCTGCTGCTTACAGGAGCACTGACTTGTCACTGGAATTAATTCTTAGCAGGACAACTCAACTCTCCCCCAATCAACCATCTCTCATACCCTGAATGCTTTTCTAACTTGGTTGCAAGTTCATGATGTCCCGGTGACATCTCAACCTTCCTTTTTTTCCCCAAGACATCACTTCAGCATTCTTGGTCATTCCTATTTATCCTGAGAGTCCTACTACCAACAAAATTAATATCTCTAATACTTTAATTTCTTTTTCCCTTGTCCTGATGAATTGGAGCTTCCAATCCGACTTACACCCTTACCAATAAACCTACAACAACTGAGTCTTTAATTTCTGGATCCCACAGCACTGGGCAATGGGATGTGCTACTGAACAAACAGCAGTACAGCATAAAGGAAAGGAACTTCCTATTCTCCCCACTGCTCCTCAGCATGGAGAGATAAGTACATTGGAACTGTGAACCATGCCACAAATGAGATTTGAGAAAATGTCCTTCCTTCTTGTTCTCAAAAGACTATTAAAAATTTTTTAATAATTTTACAAAATTCAATGGGATTTTAGGTAAAAGATTTTACTCATATGGCTTAATTTCAACTGCAGTAAGTATGGTTTTGCCTTTAACATTCCCCTTGCTGTTTCAAGTGAATATACTGCCTGCACCCGCCCTCCCTGTGCTGTTTTCCAGTGCTCCTGTAAACACCTGTAAAGAGTTCCTCCACCACAGAGGTCCATGGTAGCACTGGATGGAATTTATCTGTCTGCACCTCACACTGGCAAAGGGACATCATTAAGTCTGTTAATTTTTGACACTTAATTCAGTTGCTGTTAAGAGCTATGTAAGTTAAAAGATCCAGTACCTGTTGCAGACAACCCACAATGCAATTGAATGGCTGGTTTTCCCCCATACCTAAACAAATGCACATATGTAACATTTCATGCCAGTGATACATTTACTGCCCTCTTCACTGTGCAGCGGAAAATACTCCTGTTATGTAGCCCATCCCTCTGCCAGTGCGGTTCCACACTGCACTTCATCAGCCATGCTCATCAGCAAATGAAAGACCTGATTGTATAGCTCTCCCTGTACAAAGCTGACATTGCTGCTAGAAGCCTTTTTTTTTCCTTGAAATAACCTGACATTGGTAAAATTGGTCAATTCAAACTGGAACATAATGCTAAATTCGGATCATAATGCTAACATCATGGATGTTAACAGGCATGTATTTCTTTTTTTCCTCTTGCTAAACGGCAGGTCCTTCTGCTGGCCAAACTCACAACCACTTCTCTTGTCATCCAACCCACTTTAAGAAAAAACGTTCTGCTCCTTCCCTCATCAAGGACTGACCATTTCAAACTCAGGATCTCTATATTTTATTGGAGTTACCTCTTCTCTGAGCTGGGAGAATGAAGGTCAAGAGGAGAAGGAGTGAAAGCCAACGTGCTTGCAGGGTGGTGAATGTGTTAGCTCAGATGTCTCCTACACCACACACCGTACTCCACCCCATAACCCAGTCTCTGTCCTGTCTCCATCCAACAGTCCAAGGACAACATGGGAACTGTACTGGAGTCCAGTTCCTCCCTAGAGTCCTCCAAAATTCTAGTCTCATGGACTTAAGGTGGATTTTGAAATCCTGGAGGAGGCAATACTTAGCACAGTTCAGGTTTCCAAACCTGACTCCCTAAAAGCCTGTTACTCCTTTCCACTGCCAGGCAGATGGGAGAGGACATCACGACTGCTGTCAGGCTGTCTTTGTACACACTTAGGCAGCCTGAGAACCCCAGCCCAGTCCTTTCCACACACACAGAGCACTACTCATGCAAGGGTCATGCAGATGCATCACCAAAGCAACCTCCCGATCCTTCATTCATTGTGAGTAACGGGGCAGTGACTCCACTTCCCGGGGATAAATCAGCTCCAGGTTGTCTAACCCTTAGCTTTTAGGAAGGTCTGATTTGCAGTCCTGCCAGGAAGAACAGGGGGACACGCGCTTGGCTTTTCTGCAACCAGAGGGAGAATAAAGAAGCATTTACCATCCTGCCCAGAGCTCTCGAGGTACTCCGTCAGGTCGCAGCCGAACGCGCTCGCGGCTCCCTTCCTCTTGAGTTTCTGTTTGGCTCCCTTGTTCTTCATGAGGTTAGTCCCAAAAGAGGTTCACCCCCCTCCTGCCTTGCCCCCCTCCCCCCGGCCTCACGCTGGGCGACAAAATTCTTGCTCTTCTCCTCAGACCACCGCCCGTGTCCCGCTCCCAGGGAGCAACATCGGGGGTCCCGTACAGCGTCCAGCCAGAGAAGTAAACATTAATCCCCACCAGATGTTGGGCTGCTCCTGTGGCAGAAGAAGGTCAGGGCGAGAGGAGGCTCCACAGCCCGCAGCAGCAGCGATCATAGCCTGAGCCCAGAAGGGTTCTCATCAGAGGCAAGTGGGTGGTGGATGGGTGCCCGCATCAGAGCTGGCAAGTTGGGGGCAGGAGATGGTGGGGGGACGGCTTTTCCCTCAGCGCAATCCCGGGGCCCTCCACGGCCACCTTCTGGGCTTCGTCAGTCGCGCTGTCGCCACTTCCAGCAGAAGGCGTCCCAGTCTGGTCGTCCTCCTCTTGGCTTTCGGAGGAGACTGGAAGTTCAAACGGACTAATGAAAAGGGACTGGGGAAGAGTCTCTGCACAAGGCTCCTCTTTGGCTCCCCCCCTTCCCCTCCTCCTGCTTTGGACAGTTGGAGGAATGAGAAACCAGCTTCCTGTCCTGACTCCCGCTCAGTCGCTCTCTCCTTTCCCCCGTTTTACAAATCCTAGGATAATCCAGCTCAAAAAAAAAAAAAAAAAAAAAAAAGCTGAAAGGAAGTTAGCTGAGGAGGGGGGCGGAGGACGCTTTTTGGCAGTAAAGTGCGTGTGTGTGCGTGTGCGAGCGAGAGGCGAGGGAAGGCGGGGAGAGGAGCTGGGGCAGCAGGGCTGGGGATGGGGCAGGAAGAGGGAGGATTTGCCCCGGGCTCGGCAGATAGCGGAATGCCGGGCAGCAGATCGCGGCGGGGCTTCCTGCTCTACCAGCCCGCGGCTCGCCCGGCGCCCAGCGGGCTCCGGCCGGGAGCGGAGGGACCCGCAGCCTCTCCTGTAAATCGCTGCCTCTGCTCGCCCCGTCCTTCGCTGCGAGGCGCCTTCCTGCCCTCCAACATGACTCTGTCACTGCAGGATCTGCCTTCCTCTGCAGAGTGCGGGCTGGAGCTGCTGAAGTGCAAGAAGGGGACCGGGAGTGGGGGAATCAAAGAGAGGGGGAAGGAGGGAAACCTGCAGCTCCCTCCTCCCCGGCAAGCAGAAACAGATGCTGTCCGGGCATCTGAGTTCACATACTTTCGAGTCAGCTCCCAAAAAAGGCTCCCCCTGACCAACAAAGGGATTTAGATAAGGAGCTGAAATGACTCAGTACAGCAAGAAGGGAAATGGGACAGGTCTGCCTTCAGGCCCTGAGCCTTGTCTGTGCCCCCTTCACCCCACAAACCCTTTTCTGGTCCAGTTTTCAATACACTCATATGCCAGCTCATTAGAGCAGTTCCTTGCACTTACTTCATATTTTATCCCAGAAATTCAGATTTCTTTTCAGGACTGGGTATGCCCACCAGCATACCCAGGGAGGCAAAATTAACTCTCCTAAGGCTTCACTGACCCCTCTTACTCTGTGCGAAATGTAGCTGTATGGGTGTGGGTTAAAAAATGAACAAACAAACAAGATATTACAGCTTAATACTAAAAATCAGGCCAAAGTCAAGGAAAGTAGTTTTGGTTTGGAGGAAAACTGGCCAGGAAACAGGGCAAAGGACACTTTTAACCCACCTCCCTTCAAAAGCCTCAGTTCTGCACTCTCACATGGCAGAGGAGCCCCTCTACAAACTCACCACCTCACTCACTCGAGAGTAATTTTTCAGTGAAATCAAGCCTCTGACTGAAATCTGACCACTGCCAAAATCAATTCAGGTTCTGTTGGTATGGTGACTTTTTTTTTCCCTTAGAAGTGTTGGATGTTACACTTCACACATACAAAAAACACTAAGGGACCTGCTGAGGGACCTTGCACAATTATAGCTCCGATGATGCAGTTTATCATGGCAATTATCATAATTATCCCCATTTTACAGCTTGATGCCTGACAGGTTGAGGGGAAAGTGATTTGCAGAATGTGTCATAGAGATGTGTGGCCTGTCACCTCCCTGCCTTCTGCTCCCACTCGCAGGCTAAGGAGGAAAACCCAGCTCTCGCCTCCAGACCAGTGGTTGTTCTCAGGAACCCTCAGTCCTCATGAAACACTTAGAACTTCCTTGCATTTATTCTGAGCTTCTCACAGCACCTTGATGTTGAGTCAGAGCTTGGGATCCCTCCCTGCACCGGCGTGCCGCCAAAACCATCGCGTGCCACGGTGCATCCTGCCTGCCTGCCAAGGGCCGCGCTTCACACAGCCCGCGCAGACATCAGGACGCTCAGACCTGCGTGCCCTGCCAGCCCTTCCTCCCACTGTCTGGGTGGCTGGAAGATGAAGCTCTGTCCTAGCCCCCTCAGGGAGGAGGCATGTCCTGCTGCACTCAACAGCCCTTTCCCACACGGCAGAGTCCCCACACAGGACCAGCGGTGAGACAACAGGTTCACCATGGCAAGTAACCAGACCAAGTTCTTTGAAGCCCTGAACTCCCCTCTGCAGACCCCTCCCTTCCTCCCTTCCTCAGCTAAACAAGATGTTTAATCTCCCTGTGCTGGTCTCCTCCACTGCTCTACATCAGATGGAGGTCACATCTCTAACAGGGTCTGTGTCCACCGGTACTTTTGTCTGGTGACCCCATACATCATACTCTTGCTCCATCTCCATTGCCCTCCCTCATCTTAGATATGGTTTCTCTACTCCTCTCTTGCAAGTCCAGCCAAACAGAATGTCTTCAAAAGAGGATGCCTTAATTTTAAAATAATAAATAAAAAAATTCAATCAGTAAAATTACATCCTGCATGAATAAAGCTTTTTCATGCCTTCATAGTGAGGAAGTTCTGGCCCCAGAACCCTGTGCAGCATGGACCCCCTCCCCTTCCTTGTACACCCCAGCTCCAAGGCTCACAGTCCCAGAGCATGGGCACTCAGCAGCACTGCTGGGTCAGCACATCACCCTCACCCCGTGGTGTTTATGACAGGCCAGCAGGCGTTTTCAGCTGGAAGCACCATTTCTTGGTGCCATCTTTGGAAGCTATGGTGGTGGGTGCTGCTGGCTGATGAACACTGCAGAAATTAGGTGCTGCCATCTCATTTTGGTTATTTGGGGTTTGTGGTCTGCTGCCCTGATCCCAGCCGGGACCCTTGACCCTGAGTGCCCAGTGCCAGGTTGCAGGACCCACCAGCAGCCATCACCACCATGGTACCCTAGAGGGGAAATCAGAGAGACTGCCACTCTCATGACAAGAAAAAACAGTATTTGAAGCACAAGTACAGGGAAGAGAAGCTAGAAACAAAAGAGGGAACATTCCCACTTTATTCATCTAAGCTCTTTCAGATGCTGTAGGTTTGCTGTCCAGCTCCTTGTTCCCATGGAGGGAAGAGAGCTGGAGAAAGGAAATGGAATGGCAAGCGGGATGAAAGAGGTGTGTGCTGCAGTGAGAGAAAGAAACCATGAGAGACTCCAGGAGAGCTCTTGGCAGGCAGGCTGGGCTACAGGCGTGGATCTTCCCGTGCCAGGATAAGGTTCAGCAAGAGGACAGAGGGGAGGTTGCTACAGGAGTGCCCAGGGAGCCTGTGGCCAAGAGGAGAGGAAGAAGGAGGAGGAGGAGGAGTAGAAGGTCAGGCAAGGTGAGCGGGAGCCAAATAAGGGAGGCCTTACAAATAAAGCACTTCATATCGGAGCCTGAAATCAGTGCTGAGCCAAGGGATTTTTCTGAGGGAAAGGGGCAATGTTCTCCAGAGAGGAAAAAATACGAAATCTGGATTTGCGCAACCCAGGAGGCAGGGCTCTGAACTAGACTGAGTGAGCGGGGCTAAGGAGTGAGCCAGTGTCCCTCCTGTGAAAACATCCACAGACAAATTCAGGCAAACCTGGAGAGGAAAAATTCTCAGGCAAGTATAGAAAGCAACAGAGAATTCAGGGTTGAAACAGCTGCAAAAGAAGGGGGAAATCCTCTCCCTCCTAAAAAGAATAATAGAAAAAGAAAAAAGTGAATGCAGAACAGGAGCAACACAAGCCAAACCAGGGTTCTCACAGCAGCTATCTCTCCATAGAAATTCCTTCCTCATCTCTGCCAACATATGTAGAGTGTGATGGCCAGTGGCCCCACAGTGCCACAGCCGAAGTCTGAAAGCCATGACAATGACTTTAATTCCTTCCCTTTGAACCTGTAAATACAGGTCAGGATTTTAAGTCAGTTGCAAAGGCCTCCCTGTCAGCGAGGGCCACAGGTTCATGCAGGAAGGTGGGGCACCTTCCCACCCCGCTTCACTGCTGATCTGCCATGCCTCACCCGCCCTTCAGCTTGAGAACGGATGTGGTGAGCCAGCCTCGTGTGTGAATGAACATAGCAGAGATAATGACTTTACAGCTCTTTACCATTCTCTGTTCTCACAGACAAGGTATGGGTGACACCAGGAGCACTCCGAGAGCCTGAGGAAGGAGCTTTGGCCATTAGGTCTAAGTATTTCTTACCCTTCCACTAGGAGCTGGGGGCCATGGCTGAGGTGCTGCTCAGGCTATTTCTGGGCACCCATCTCTCCCCTCCCTGCTGCATTTCCTTCATTGTGTTTGAGCTCTTTCCTATCTGTGGCCTTTAAATCTCCACCGATCTGCCAGGCGCCACTCAGCACAGAAGAGGGGGGAGGCAGACTCAGAGAGGGGGAGATCTGAACCCCTAAAAATAGCCCTGCCGAGTACGTCTGTTTTCCTGACACAGACGGTTCATTGTTAGACTCTGACACGCCAGTTCACCCTCCCTCCCCACCCCTCAGCATACTCTCTTTCCTCTCCTGCCCCTCTCCAGAGCAGTTTCCTGTCTACTCCCATCTCTGTGGCCAAAGCTGGAGTGTATTGTGAAGCCGAAGGCTGGTGTGGAGTCTTTTGTTTCTCGGAGTACATTTTGGACCACAGACTATGAGGTTGATCCTTGTCACAGGGCACCTACCACTCTAGGTTCCTAATTTCACCCATTCCTGGCCACACAAGCCCTGTCTCCTCAGCTCCCACCTCCCTTTTTGCCTTCCACCCTCTTGACCTACATCCTGACATACCTTGTTCTATGTGTCTCTCTGCCCTATGCAACTGTGTTGTCAGCTCCTTTGCAGATCCCAGCACCTCAGGAACAAATGAAGGAGGCACCCCACACATGCTACCAAGTGTCCTTGCTGCTGCTTGCCTGCCCATGACATGACAGTGTAACCAGGGGCAGGTTTGGTAGTGGACTTGGCAGTGCTGGATTAACAGTTGGACTCAACGATCCTAAAGGTCTTTTCCAACCTACATGGTTCTAAGTACTCCAATATAACACAATAATTCAGTACTGACCATACAGAGCACAACTACAAAACATGCAACTAATGTTTTTAGCCAGATTGCCTTCTCTCACTGTTCACAGTCCTTTCAGAGATGCCTTGGATACGGAAAACAGAATGAGGAACATACCTGTATCCGCTAACTCAGAGCGCAAACTTGTTTGAACCATGACATTTACCTAATTCTGTGTTTGTCCAGCATCTAGCACAGAGGATCTCTAATTCTTGACTGGGGACTCCAACTGTTTGTTATTTAAACAACATGAAGACCATTATAGAAAGGG